GGCAGCAGGAAGAGGCCGCTGCTCACCCCGCTCTGCAACGGGCTCATCAACTCCTATGAGGACAAGAGCAACGACTTCGTCTGGTGGGTGCGATATATTGCGATAGTAGCACCCGCTACCCCGCTGAGGGAAGCCGCGAGGTCGCCATGCCGGCGGGAAGCCCCGCGGGGTGTAAAATACTAGTGGGTGGACGGAGCAGCCGGGAGCGGCACTTCGGGGGTCCTCTGCGGGGAAAGAGGCGTTGGTACGTCTCATTGCCCTCGAGGGATTATGGACTTGGGGTTCCCACCGCCTTTGTGGCTATGTGGTTGCGGTTTGGCCCTGCGTAGCAGCGTTGCTTTCACCGTCGCTGTTATTAAGCAAAATCAGGTTATTCCCAGCAGGTTCCTCCTCGGGTACACTCCGGAGTAGCCCAACTTACCGGAAAGGACTGACAACACGAGGCGTTTCCTCATACATAGCTTGTTGACACGCAAGTGAATGCCCCGTTTCCCTGGGTGGTGTAGTCTCAGCAGGGGCTGGAGGGGCTCTGGTGGGGGGGATGACCACTCCAGAGCCCTCCCGCTGCCCCACTCTGACCTCTGGAAGAGGAGCCAGTGGAAGATTCTGTGCTCCTACAGATGGGGATCCAAGGAGTCTCTTGGGGTGGCTGATGGATCCAGCAAAGCTGCTGTGGGTTTGCCTCTGTTGCTGGGAAGGGTTGGCTAGTTTGAAACAGCAATAAGGTTTGTGTCAGTCTAGCACTTAAAACCAGAGCCCTCCCGCTGCCCCACTCTGACCTCTGGAAGAGGAGCCAGTGGAAGATTCTGTGCTCCTACAGATGGGGATCCAAGGAGTCTCTTGGGGTGGCTGATGGATCCAGCAAAGCTGCTGTGGGTTTGCCTCTGTTGCTGGGAAGGGTTGGCTAGTTTGAAACAGCAATAAGGTTTGTGTCAGTCTAGCACTTAAAACCAGATGAGTGGGAAATTTCTGTGATGATGGAATAAAGATTTTTCTTGAAGCTGTTCAGATTCTGTTCTTCTAATGTTCATCCAAAGCTGCAGCTCATAGCTGGAAACACCCTTTCATTAGAAGTGGTAGACCAAGGCCCACTGCGATGTGTGATTTGAGAACTATTGGTAATTGGCAGTTTTAAAGAGAGCCCATTGCCGATGGGTTTCAAACCTCCTGACAGAAGGAGTAGATTTGACTATTTATTTTTTTTTTCTACAGCTGGTTGGAGGTACTAAAATGTGAGAACAGAAAGTAGGGGTGAGTGTTCGTATCTGAGAGTGGCGAACAGTGAAGAGATACTGGAAAGAAGCTTGAGTTGTAGGAAAGCAGTGTGTCAGAAAGAAACCATAAAAAACAATAAAGAGGAAGAGAAATGGCACACAGCTTCCAAGATGACTTTCTCGCAGCTCTGACTTACAGGTGAGGGTTGAAAGTTTGTCATCGCCACAGGGCAGGCATTGACTCAAAAACCTGGAGACTTGATTTTACAGCAGAGTAGATGGGAAACATCCTTGCTACTGAAGGGAGAATATGGGGCTGCTGAAAAGTTAGTGGCAGAAAAAAACAGTAAGTACTTCTTACTGGTAATAATCAAAAACTACTGCTCAGTAGCTGAATTGGGGTGAGAGGACAGCTGTAATCAGCTGATGTCCTGCTCCAGCTCAAGACTAGGCCACGTTAGGTGTAAGAACACTTGGTTTGGGAGATGGCTGTGTTGCTGTTGCTCATGAGTTTTGTGATCATGGGAGAGAAAGGAATAGTAAATGCCTGTGCTTCTCTGTTCCCTATACAATTACACTCTGGCAGTAGTGGTCTGCAACCATTGCTCCCTGTACTTTCCTAGTCAGCTGTCACTTCCCATTTTGTTATCTGTTGTGGAAATGGGGGTATTTGAATGGAAACAAGTTTGTAAGCCAGTTGAAGTATTTTAAGATAGTTCAAAAAAACTGAGTTTCTTGTTTGTATGGGTTGTTTTTTGTTTTGTGTTTGGTGGGTTTTTTTTTTGTTTTGCTATAGGTAAGTACTGTTCATGCTTCAAGGAGAACGTATAATTAGCTGTTTTCTCCCCACTGAGGAGTCCTGCTGGCTGAACAAGGGCAGGGGGTGTGGTGTGTGGGAATCAACTGAGTAGTAATTGTGGCAAAATGTCTTTTCTTATCTCCCTTTTCTTGGTATTTACAAGAGCCAGGTTGGGCTTATTGAAGTGCAAGTCAGAAGCCTTAAGAGCAGACAATGATTACAGTTAACTTACCTAGGTTCTGCACAACTGTGTATTTCTGTGGGCTGTAGGGTTTGTGCTTATTAACACTAGCTTCAAATTATTTTTTTTTGAGTTAGCAACACGGTTATGTAGTACAGAAATAAACTCAACTGGGCAACTCTGGAATTTTGAGTAAGCCCAAGAAGATGTGTGTGTGTGTGTGTGCTGGTTTAAATTGAGTTAAAGAAGATTTGATATCTGCGTGAGAAGCAGAAGTTTTCTGTATGCTGGGTTGTGTGTGTATTGCTTTTTTATGTAAGGACACTTTCAAGGTGCTGCCAGCTGCAGGAAACATTTGATAATTTCTCTGAACATGGGCTGTGAGTTGCTGTTAGCTACAGTTGTGAACTTGGTGGTAGATTCTGTCCATGCCAGACTGAAGGAGGGAAGGCGTAAACAAGTTTGGATGAGTTTCAAACATCAAGGTGCAAGTAAAAATCCTGTAAATAGTGTGAATGTGTGCAACCTTCCTGCCTGTCTTCTGAAAGTACTGTCTCAACAATGTGAGGCCTAGGCTGTAATCTAAATGTTGGCATACATTGCTAGTCTGGGTTGTGAAATGTTTAGCAAGTATATGCTCAGGAGTTTGCAAGTGAGTACCGTTTGTGGTGTATCAGCTTCTGCCTTGGAAAGTGTGACTCTGGTCAGGAAAGCCAATAGGTCTGGACCTATTATAAAAGGGGGAATGCTTCCGTTTTGTGCAGGATGTTGAATTTAAAGGTAATTTGTGCTGTTCCTGTAGCCAGGCCTCTTTCCACTTGCCTGGAGAGCATCTGAAAGGAAATCTTCTATTCAAAGGATTTTCTGTTGTCCAGCAATGTAGTTGCTTGAAGTTTTCCCATACATTAGCCCTCCTCGTTAGTGGTTGACTAAACCTCTTTAAAACCAGTTACTCTCTGCTCTGCTCCCTGGATAGAGGGGATCTTGCTGCAGGCTGCATCATACCAGTGCTTGTTTCTGAGCTCTGGCATATGTAATAACATATGTAAGAGGGGACATTGCATACTGACCTGGAGAGGTACATCCAACAGACTGGGGTGTAGGAAGGGCTGTTGTACCGCATTTAAAGGTAGACTTGCAGGTTCATGAGTTTTTAAAAACTCTTCTTTCCTCAGGTGATTGCCTGCTAATGCCAGGCATGGGCTGAGTGTAGCTGGTCACATGTTTGTGATCTGGCAAACCCCTTTAGTAAGGAATACTGCAAATTGACCCTGGTGGTCACAAACTGAAAGCACAGTGAACTGTTTGCGTACCAGGTATAATGGTAGTTTTATAATCTGTTGTTATATTAGAGTTTCAAATTGAGCAGATAGTAATGGCAGTGATCTTTGACCTGGCCACCTTATACGGACGGAGCCTGCAGCAAGTCCTGCTCTCTGTTTAGACCAAAGAGGAACAGAATAGGAGGGGGAAACTAATGGGTCTTGTCTGCTGCAGAGCAGAAGGAAATTTGAAATGTGTTGAAATTTGTAGTGACCACTTTCAGGTCTACTCCTGAGAGAAAGAAAGAGGAGAAAGAATGGTAAGCCTTTGCAGTGCTGGATAAAAAACCTGTTAGGTAAATAAGGCATCAGTGTCTGGTGAAGATCGGTGCCATTTTTGGCTTGCTGAAGTAATTTACATTCTTTTTGCCTGGGTCTGCTGCTTGAGACAAATAGACAGTAAGAGCTATCTCATGCAGAGAAGCCTTGATTTCACCATACCTCTGCTTCTCGATTTCGGTGTATACTAGAAATTGTAGTATGTCTCCAATCCCCATCACTCCACTGCTTTCTTAACCTTCCCTCTGTGTTAACTTAAAACAACTGATGCATAGCAGCTTTCATGTGTATAGCCAGCTTGGCTGTGGTAAGTATTAAAAGTTATCAATCTTGTTTCCACTTGTAAATTGGTGAGCATTTTACGGGAAACAGTTCTTAATGGAAACTTTAAGCTCCATTAACAATGACCCTGGCACAGAATGGCTACGTGTGCTGGCTCTGATTGCTTTTCCTCAATCATTTTGTCTCTGACACTTCTCCAGTCAAACTGGTCTGAAGAAGAATAAGTTTAAGAACAGTGGTCTTGGGTGGCTGTCATGTTAGGAGGTAATCTTGCTATTTTAGCTCTAATTTGTGACGTCCTATTGCAGACAGAGGAGCATTACAGCCTTGTTGATTGCTGCACTTCTTGGAGGCAGGGCATTAGGAGTGTGCTGGAAAGATTAGCACAATGCAGTGGGACTGTTAAACAGCATGACTAGAAAAAGGTGAAGAAGTTAAACTGCTCATCACTAGTGGGGAAAAAACAGATTCAGACACGCATATAGCCATAAGTCTTTGACTTTCTTTTTTTTTAAAGGCCAGCTAATAGCCTAAAAAGATAACTAATTCTCCTCTTGTTAATCCACCTTTGTTGGCTAAGTTTGGTCATAATTTATTCTGAGTAAACAGTGCCTTGAAACTAAATAACTTCTACCTTGGGAATAGTGACTTGAACTCCTGAAGATGGTGCTACTCAAGCTCAATGATGTGCAGAAAATGGTATGTCAGAGCGGAAGAGTGATAGGTGTGTGTTAATTAATTTTAAGTTGTCTTTTGAGGTGGCTCAGTTGGTCCATAGAGTAGCATTCTGGTTTGATTGTTTGTTTTTGTGTTTACACGGGCAATTTGGTGAAATATTTGAGACAACCTGGTCTGTATGCTAGGACAAATCTTTCAAGGTATCCTGTTTTCCAGTTTGGTGATTCAGAGGGGGATTGCATTGCCAGGGGCACAGCTTCCCCTGTATAGGCTTAAAAAAATAAATACTTAAGATGCATTTCCTTCTTCTGGTTTTTAAATGTCTAATGGGATAACAAGCGTTAGTATCTTCTAAAATGGATGATAGAGAGGGGGAATGACTTCTATGGATCGCTAATGAGAAGAAAAGTTGAGGTGCTCCCCTCCCCTGCTCAGCCAGGCATCGGTTGTTCTCGTGTGATCTGGGGGTTTGTCTTGGATTCAAAAAGATTCATGCTTTTCAAAAGTTGTTAACAGTTTATTAACAGCTCATTCTGTGGGAGCTGCCTTGTTGGAAGAAGGTGGGAGGAGGCTGTTTCTGAAGAAAAATGCTGGTGAAAACCTCTCAGCTGTGAGATTGGTGTGGACTTGTGGGAGTGAGAGGAGAGCATTTGAATCTCTTAAGAACTTGAAAGCAAGGTGAAGCTTGTGACACAGCAGATACATGTGTTGTGTGCAGAATTGTGACATTGCTGTCCACACCATCTCACTGCATAGCTGGCCAAGACCTGAAGATGAATATGTATGTGACAGCATATTTTACCAGCTGTCAGGATAGCAGCCATAGGAGTCACTGGAAGTAACATGCAGCTCTCCTCTGCTTTCATCTGTGTTTCATTTTCCTTTCAAACATGTCACAGCCACTTGATGATGAGACAGTAACAATCTCACCTAATGCCTGTTTTTTTCTTCTTGCTCAGGTTCCTGTGGAAGCACTGCTTGCTTGCACATCTTCTTTTCTTCAGCTTGGTTCTTAGTGATCACTCCCAGAGAGCTGGCTGTGCTTTGGTCACTAACTAGTGTTGGAAAAAACTAAAGCCCTTATCTCCATTTGTGCTGCTCTGTTTTCTGTATGAACAGGTCCAGGTTCTACCCTTTCCATCTTCTCCTCTGACTTTGAAACACTCTGCTTGACTGTTGGTTCCCTCTTTAGGCTGCACTGTTGCCTTCATGGTGCTCAGCAGCAGCCTTAGCCCTGCCTGCTGCCTGGCAGTGCTCTGCAGGCACACCCCCTCTCTGGCACTTTTTTTTTCCTGCCTATTAGTTCTTGTTCTTATGACAACATTACTATTTCTGTTCTGTTCTGCCTTTTTACTTTTTTTTTTTTTAATTAGAGATAGCTATTGGCTGAGGGGGAAAAAAAAAAGGAGGGCTAAACTAATCTTGGTGTATTTATAAACACCTTATGTCTGTTCATGTATAAAACAGATTTTTTTACATTTTGTTTGAGACCTAGTACAGATGGTTAGGAGGTTCTCCTCCAGTCTTGTTTGTAGAAGGTGCTCTTGCTTTGTTAGGGTAGTTTGCAACTGTTGAAATCTTCAGGAGTGAATACTTACCTGGTTTCTAATTGTAGCAAACTGCAGTATCATTCTGAGTTCAAAGGACTGTTGATTGCCCTTTTGATCTTTCTACTGCCCAGCTGCTGTTGCACTTGTGTGTCCTCTTTCATTTTACAAATAGAAAATATTACTTAAGCATGATTAGGTGGCTGCTTTGAATTAATAATATTTTCCTTCCTTTTTTAACATAAAAAGACATCTTTGTGTATTTGATTTTGTTTTCAGCCCCATCTGTTTTGATATGATTGAAGAAGCCTACATGACAAAATGTGGACACAGCTTCTGGTAAGTTGGGTTTGTCTGTTGTTGGGTTTTTTTACTTTTTTGTTGTGCAGAATGTCCATCTCTTATAGCAACATCCGCACATGCTGTGAATCCCTTTCCTTCTGAGTTTCTGTTACTTTGCTGTCTTCTATCCCTGCACTGAAGTAAGAGTTTGAAATAAAGTTTTAAGATGGGTACTAGTTAGATTTAAAAAAGTCATCTTAGTGTTGAAAACAAAAAACATTGTGCCACCCTATTTCCTCTGTAAAGAAATAAAATGGTCATAAACTGCCAGTAGCATCCAGTATCCAGAGTTGGAACAGTTTGTCAACTTACCTCTTGGCCTTGCCTCTTAAGAGGTCATGGGAGTGAATGTTGATGTTAAGAGGTCCTCCTTGCCTTTGCGCATGATCGTATACATTCTGAAGTGGCTTGCACATTGCCTATTGTAATTCCTTTAAACTTTTTAATAGATGATATGCTTCAGGAATGTTTCTGTTGTATTGAATTGGCCCACTCCCCTTATTTTTCATTGTGTTATTTCTGGCTGTTATGAGAAGCAAATGTTTGGTGGTAAAGTACAAGAACCCTCCAGGGGCAGGTGTAGAACTGTCTGCTGTTCCTCCTCTCAACTAGGGCTTGGAATAAAAGTTGAATCATGATGTTTTAATGTCCCATGTACATTATACTCTTGCAGCATCTGTTAACTAAGAATAAATTGCCTACGTTTTTACAAGAAGTAATATTTCAGTAGCATAAAGCATTTCCTCGAGTAGCAGATTCAGTTAACTTTCAGAAATATTTTGACCTGCAACAGGAAAGATAACAGCTTATGGTGGCGCCCTCTATTGAAACACTTTATCCCTGTGATCTCTAATGTTTTAGAAGTCCAAGATGAGAAGCATTCAAATATTTTTATTTAGAAAGAAAAGAGCAATGTTGTCACAGGATGTCTTTGCCAGCAGCTGGCTTCAAGCTAGGTTCTTAGTGAGATGCTTAAACCTGATGCTAAAGTGAATCTTGTAGGTACTGTTGCTCAAATAGGTAAGAGCTCAACAGAGAGCACCTCTGGAGACACTTCTGGTGAGAACAAGAGCCAGGAGGTGGGGGGAAATATGATAAGCTGGTGAACACATTTCCTCTGCTCAATTACCCAAAATGCATAATGGCTTTTAAAGTTGCTTGCCCAGTATTTGGGCTAATCTAGAAGAGTTGCTTCTGAATAATGCAGTCTGCTTGTTAGCCCTATGTGTGGAAGGGGAGCTGAATTATCCACATTGCCACAATCCTTAGGGAAATAAGAGTGAAGCACTTCTAAACACCTTTTGTATTCCTTGCCAAGAAACTTTGCTGTCTTTCTGCTGGAGCATGCTCTGAGTTAATATTGGAACATTTTGACTCAACAGTAGGATCTTGGCAATGCAGCTGTTAGGTTATCTAAGGTTGATATTATTTACCTTGTGCATATGTTTTGTTCCTTCATGTTTGCTCACAGTTTTGTTTCTTGTTTATGTTTTTAAACAGCTATAAATGTATTCACCAGAGCTTGGAGGACAATAACAGATGTCCCAAATGCAACTATGTTGTGGACAACATTGATCATCTTTATCCCAACTTCTTAGGTGAGCTCTAAGCTTGCTTGCATGAGAAACATCTTAGTTATTAAGGAAGGTAAATCATTCTATAAATAACCAGCTTCTGGATATTGAAAACAAAATCCAAACATCAGCCTTTTGGTCAAAGGTAGTTTAAAAACAAACAAACAAAAACCCAAACACCACCACCACCCCCAAAACAAAACACCAACAAAAACCCAAACATCAAATAAACCCTGGTTAGTAGCATAAATTGTTAATAGTCAACTGCCTCCAGCAGTTCTGTATGCTGAGTTAAAGTATTGACTGACTTGATGCTGTTTGCATACTAACAAAAGCAAAACAAAGATGTTCTTCTGATGGCTAGAGATTTGAATCTCTTTACTTTTGTTTTCTTGTACTGTTGCCTGTCTAATCAAGAACATGCCCTGTTTACAGAGCTTGGACACTAGGGGGGGAGGGGAGGAAGGCTGAATCACATATTGTATTATCTTGGCTACTGTAGTGAGGTCTCTGTGATGTATGAATGTGTATATTAAAAATATTTGTACACATACCTGTACATAATCATGATTGATAGCTGCTTAAACAGAGGACAGAAGTCTTCCTAACTGGTAGTAGAGTTTAAAACGTAGTTATGGGGAGAAAAGATCAACGGAAACACATTGCAGTGTGAAATATCAAAACTAAGTTAAATGTTGATTTCATGTGCTGGGATACTAATTAATAGTAAATAGATTATAAGCCATGGTGGCCAAGGAATGCTTCAGAAATGGTATCCTGATTTATACCCAAGCATGCTGTGCCGAGGGTGGTGCTGAGATGGGTTGTAGAGTATGTACTAGGCCAAAGAGCCTAACATAGGGCTTCTGTACGCTTGTGTTCAGGGGTTTGAGGTCTGTTTTGGAGGGACAAGAGCTTGTATATGTGTGTGCAAAGGGTTCTGGTTATCCTTCTCTTTGCACAATTCACTAAATTGGTGTGAAATAAAACAGTAGCAAAAATATCTTTAAAAATGTGTGTAGTGATTAAACAAAGTTTTTCTATTTGGCTATGCTTGGTTTTGGCCTGTAGTAATCAAATAATATTTTATCTCCCTCATACTGTTCTCTGATACACTTCTGCCTTGGTGTTGAAAAACATTGTTAAAGACCCATGGGTGCTTAGAAAAAGGAACTGAAGTAATTTGGGGATTTTTTTTTTTCATATTTGTTGCTGATTTTTTAACAATGTTGAAGAAAAAATCAAGCAGTAAATTGGTGAGAAAAAAGTGGAGATGTCTGCTGTTTTAATTACTTATAAACTTACTATGGAATCACTAACCAAAGTAAAAATATCGAGGTAGAATCTTCCATATTTGTTTTGTGAACTTTAAATCCCTCTCCTCTCTGACATCTTATTTATGTTTTTTAGTCAATGAACTTATTCTTAAACAGAAGCAAAGATCTGAGGAAAAAAGACTCAAACTGGACCATTCAGTGAGTAGCACCGTATGTTCCAACTTTCTTACTTTATATATATTTAATGGTTTTGTACAGCAATTGTGTCATTATGTGTCTTAATTCAAAAGAAATTGTACTGTTAAGCTGATGCTTTAACTTGCTTTATGAGGGACTAATATCAATATCAGTGGCACTAGATCACTTCAATCTTGCTAACTCTTGTTCTTCCTGCCAGCATTGCATGTGTAGAGGCAAGCTGTGTTAGCATAGCTAAGTATCATGTAATGTATTGAATATAACCTGGGAAACTATCTGTGGAAGCACACTTGTTTAAAGGTAATAATTTTCACTGTTGGAAATTACAGCTACCGTCAGTGAGGGTAATGGATGATTAGAAGTGCCATAGGCTTGTCTATTCACGTGTGAGAAGCTGTGTTCTATAGAGAAATTGGAGGAAGGCTAATACCAACCACAGAAGAGAGAAGGATGTGTTTTGAAGTACTAGTGTCTAGCTCTGATCCCAGATAAAACTGCCTGGATATCTTCTAGGTTTGCTTCAATTCACGGAATTGGCGCATGAACTGTGTTCTTAGTTCCTGAAAACCCCTGTACAGCAGCAGTGGATGCTTTTGTGCATTAAGATCAAAATAATATGTGACATTAACTAGAAAACTTGCATATTTGTCTTCTTATGTCTGGCTTCCTTGGCTTCTGTAATTCATAAATAAGGCTCAAAGGAATCATAAAAATTATAGAGCCCCCGTTTTTTGGGGTGGGGTTTTTTTGGTGGTTTTTTTGTTTGGTTGTTTGGTTTTTTTTTTCAGTTAAATCCCTCTGTTAGTGTTATTAATTTAGGGGCTGCTTTGTAGAAATCAATGCTTTCAGCAGTTGTATACAGTTAGAAAAGAGTACGCTTTAAGGATTCATGGGTTTGCTCACAGTAACATTTTATATTAATTATAAAATATGCATGTATAGCATATTTAATATAAAATCTACATAAACTGTTTCTGATTTAAAATGCACACAGTCGATGTGAAGACATGTGCAATAAATTCTTGGAAATTGGTTCTACTTTTCCTCATAGTGCACCTTTGAAAACTATGCCTGCAGATGCATGTGGCTTAGATAACTACCAGTAAGTGGAAATCTACCATGAATTCATGCCCAAAATAGTTTTGTGTCTACCTTTTGGCAGCAAATAAAAAACAGTGACAACTCTAAAAAGAGAAACTTTGTACCAGTGCCTTAATATGACTGTTCTCCTCTTGTATTACTTCTGGTATTAAGAGAAGTAGTTCAAAACACACTGCAGGAAATGCACCATTTCTTTGTCGTGGGATTTATCTTAAGAAATCATGTTAAGGCATCTTTGAAGCTTTCTGAGTATTTTATTAGTAGTACATTTAACTAGTATGTTAGTATGTTAAAGTTTGTCTCAAATCTCGTTGATTTGTTTAAAAATTAATTCTATTTCCAATTGTTCCAGATTGAAATTGAGTTTTTTGCCTATGTGGTTTCCACAAGTTCTGTTAAGAGTTGTGTAAAAAGTTGTGTGTTCTATATGGATGTTATATATTGGTTTTAATCTAGTCAAAATAAATAGGCTAGAATCTCTGGAAAAAAAGTGTGGGTTAGACTGGATGGCATTTTTAGTTCTTGTAAGTTTAAGTATCTTGATCTAGTGTCATAGTTGTATAGGGTAGGAATTTTTAATCCTGCTTTGTTTCTTAGAAGGCTCAAAGACCTTTCAGCTGCTCCTTTTCCTGAGTTTTTTTGATGGAAGGCTGTATTAGCATTGACCTATTATTTGGGTTTCCCAGTGCCAGACAATACCTTGCGGTTTTGGTTTTGGTTTTTTTGTGGGGTTTTTTTTTTTTTTTTCCCCTCCTGTTGGCTGACAAGGAGAAGAGCAAACAGCCTGTTGGGAAGAATGGGCTGTGTGGTAGTATGCTGGCTCTATGAGGAGTCCTTCTCAGCTCTAACAGGTTAAATGAGTTTATTACTTTGATAAACTTATCCCATCTTCTCAGTCCATCTTCTTCCCAGCTCTCGTACTCATGTGAAATGCTTTTAAGAGTAGTAGTGAGGGAGGTGAGAGTAGGGGAGAAAAAAAGCTGATACTGTCTTCTTCCACTTGAATTTGACATGAGGGGTTTACCTATTACTTGCTTAAACTTAAAAGGTATTGCCATTTAACAGTATTTCAGATAGATATAATGCAGCTAAGGTTGGGTAAACATGTTTTGGTTTGGCTGTGTTTTTTTGCTTTAACTTTCTCTCCATGGAAATGTGGTGTTTGTTTTTTCTCCCTGTAGAAATGTGTTCTCAGAAAGTAGGGCACAAGTTGGATAAAATTGCATCTGAAATAATCTCTTCCTAGCAGCAGCTACACTCTCATGAAGCATGAGTATCTTCCAAATAAGATAAGCAGTTACACAGTAGGACAGAAGAGCCATAACCTGTACATGTGGGAGAGTAGGGAATTCTGATTCCTGAAAATTGTTCTGAAATTTTACAAAGAACAATACTGCATTGTTGCTTTTAATATCTGTTGCTGGATGGCTTGAACTCACTGTCTCGCCAACATCTCTTGTTCTCTTCCTAGAATGGCCATAGGTGGCAGATAATTCAAGATTTGTTGGGAACTGATCAAGACAATCTTGATTTGGCCAATGTCAACCTGATGCTGGAGCTCTTGGTGCAAAAGAAGAAGCAGTTAGAAGCAGTAAGAATTTTCCCTTGTCTTATTTAAATGAGTGCCATTATCTAGACAGCAGTTGTTTCTTTTCATTATTCTTGAAGTAAGATTTTATTGCTAAAGTAATTGCTCAGATTTTACTCTTGCATTTTGGTGTGGAAAACTTGGCCATCTGATTGACCTGTGTAGCAAACTAACATTTTAACTGTCATCCCTGTAACACAGAATCATAGGGTAGTTAGGATTGGAAAGGACTTTAAGACCATCTAGTTCCAACCCCCCGTCATGGGCAGGGACACCTCGCACTAAACCATGTCACCCAAGACTCTGTCCAGCCTGGCCTTGAACACCACCAGGGAGGGGGCATCCACAACTTCATTGGGTAATCCATTCCAGTGCCTCACCACCCTCACAGTAAAGAACTTCCTTATATCTAACCTGAACTTCCCCTGTTTTAGTTTAAACCCATTACCCCTTGTCCCTAAGGAAAAGTCCCTCTCCCCATCCTTGTAGGCCCCCTTCAGATAGTGGAAGGCTAGTATGAGGTCTCCACGCAGCCTTCTCTTCTCCAGGCTGAACATCCCCAACTTTCTCAGTCTGTCATGCTTACAAGTGTTGCTTCGGCCAGAGTTGTATAAACAAGCAGGGAAAATGGAATAGAATAAAAGGAAGTCATTAGCAGAACAGAGAAATGCATATGAAGATGTTTACTAATTGACTGTTGCACAAGTAAATATCACATCTTTCTTGGTAATAAGCACGAAGTCCAAAATACAGGATAAAGAATAAAATCACAGAATGTGAAAAAGATCACACTTTTTAGTTTTGGCTGGAACTACTAGAACCTAAATGAATGCCACCCCTGAAGGCTTCTTTTAGAATTTAATGGTTAAAAAAAAAGTTCAGTTGTCTTATTTATGAGGCTGGTTTGAAGACTTACACAATACAAAGCAAGCTGTTCCTGTGATTTAACTGAAATGTAGTTGGTTTGTCACAGTAAAGAACTTCCTTATATCTAACCTGAACTTCCCCTGTTTTAGTTTAAACCCATTACCCCTTGTCCCTAAGGAAAAGTCCCTCTCCCCATCCTTGTAGGCCCCCTTCAGATAGTGGAAGGCTAGTATGAGGTCTCCACGCAGCCTTCTCTTCTCCAGGCTGAACATCCCCAACTTTCTCAGTCTGTCATGCTTACAAGTGTTGCTTCGGCCAGAGTTGTATAAACAAGCAGGGAAAATGGAATAGAATAAAAGGAAGTCATTAGCAGAACAGAGAAATGCATATGAAGATGTTTACTAATTGACTGTTGCACAAGTAAATATCACATCTTTCTTGGTAATAAGCACGAAGTCCAAAATACAGGATAAAGAATAAAATCACAGAATGTGAAAAAGATCACACTTTTTAGTTTTGGCTGGAACTACTAGAACCTAAATGAATGCCACCCCTGAAGGCTTCTTTTAGAATTTAATGGTTAAAAAAAAAGTTCAGTTGTCTTATTTATGAGGCTGGTTTGAAGACTTACACAATACAAAGCAAGCTGTTCCTGTGATTTAACTGAAATGTAGTTGGTTTGGGGTAGTTCTCATGTATTTGGCCATTTCATGCTGTTGGTCATTGACCATTTTCCAATTATGAGAGACAGATCTGCTAGATAACACAATTACAAAGGATTACAAAATTTGGCCTACTGAACTTTGGGTAGGAGGGTGGATTTAGATGATTCTTTAAAAATAGGTGAGGAAAAGTTGTATTGGGAATGGCTTATCTTATTCAGTCTTGCAGAATAAATATTTATACAACTTATGGTTCTGATGGAAGTAACCCAAAAATTTTTTTACTGAATACTAGCAGAACTGATATGTTATTGCATGGGACTTCTAGGTAACATTTTTTTATTGTGGTTCAGTGAAGATATGGTGGTGGTATGGTTTCTAACTCCACAGTAAAACCTTTCTTCCTCCCCATATCATGCCAAGCCTTTTTGTCATTTGTGACAAATCTGGAACAAAGAAGGCACAGGACTGAGTGTATGGGTGCTTCTGAGCAGGAATATCTTTCAAAGATACTGAGCCTTAAACAAAAACAACACTATCTGATGCTCAAAGAACAATTTAAAAAACATTTTTGCTTTTTAGTGTTACTTGCTTCACTTGCGTTATTGTCAGAGGGGTGTAGAGGAAGAAGATAATCTCAAAAAAGTGGTAGTCTTAAATTCTAAACTCTTTACTTGTCCTGTCCCATCTGCCTTGAAGGAATTATGTGTTAACTTCTGTCTTGAACTTTTGAGAGTATGTTCACAGACCTGTAATAAATATTTTGGTAGGTTGTGAAAATAGGTCTCAGTGCTGGCTTAGGATTGGAGCTATATTAATGCTGGAATGTAGGCTTTATTTTCCTTTCCTCTTGTGCTTCTCTTATCTTGACCTATCAAATTTTTGGCCAATTTGGGAGATTATATTAAGCTGATGCTTAAGGCAGATCACCTGTTATAGAAAGAGTGGAAAGAGATACTTTAGTTTCATCAGTGACATTATTGTTGTCTTCCACTCTATAGAGGAATCTTCAGCAGTAATCTCTTTATGTAAACACAATTGTTAATTTTGTAGGGAGGTGTCCTTTATATGAATACTGCATGCTTTGTTAACAGCAAGATGGATGCTAGTGATCTTCTAGGGTAGAAATGAGTCTGAGAGGAACCTGTATTCCAAAACCAATTTCAGATGCAGTAGCCAAAAAAAAAAAGCCTAAAAGCCTTTCAGCTTATTAGTCTTCAGTAACACACAAACAAGAACTGTTAAAATCATTTCTGCCTTCATGTAAAAACTTGTTGTGAGCCAAGCAAAACCTTAAAACCTGTGAGGCAAAGTAAAACTACCATTCTTAAAATTGCCTTAATAAGCTATTTTCCTCACCTCTAAATATAAGCTGTTTCTGTGCTAAGTGTAGATTTCTGTGTATGAAAGGAATGTTTGTTTCTCTTGATGAAGAGTTATACTTCCTTATTTACTGTGTTACAGGAGTCCCATGCTGCCCAATTGCAGATCCTAATGGAGTTTCTCAAAGTTGCCAGGAGAAACAAACGAGAGGTAACTTGCTTTGTGTTTCAGTGGGTAAGGTGGTGTTTGCTGCTTTCTACCAGTTCATTTCCAATTAAGTGACGTGTTAGCCTGGCATTATCTGTGCAGTGAAAAAGGCAAGGTGTTTTTGGGGAAATCTCCGGCAAAGGACATGTGGGTTTTAAGGAAAATTAATCTCTTTACAGGTGCCAGCTTTTAATCACTTGTCTTTTTGTCTCACACTGGTAAAGCATATGAGAAGATAGAGATTCCTATGCTGTAAATTCACATCAAATTCTTGAAAAGATATTCTTTTTTTCCCTGTGACGGGAAAACTGAAAGATGCAGGAGGAGTGAAATTGCCATCACTCAATTTTTTTTCTTTTAGTGTGTCAAATGACATGACTAATGCTGTGTTGTGAAAGAATGACTATTCTGTACTTTTTCCTTATTTATCTCAAAATGAGTGCCTCAAGGAATGTGAGAGAGTCCTATAATCACATACATGGTCTTTGATGGTTTGGGGCTTATCATTTATTATGTCATATAGCGCATAAACCCTAATGCCAGAAATATCTCAGAAACCTAGAAAAATGATTGTAAAAACAGCAGAAGGACAAGTTTTGGAATCTTCATTTCTGATAAAAGATGCGAAGAATATAAGACCCAACGGAGTGACTGTAAGGTTAAACTTGAACCATGTAGAGGTGATGGGTGTAAGAAGCTTTCTCCAGTGTGGATTGAGGGTCTGTTTATGGAGTCATCCCAAAGCCACTTGTTTGGAGTCTGTTTGCCAACAGATATCCATGGCCGCCTGAGCAGAAACAACAAGGGTAGTGGAAAGGAGCTAATCAAAGGGGGAAACTGAGACCAAGAAAGTTGCATTTATGGAGTATGAGACCTACTAGACTAGGTATAGTATCGTGAAAAATGATGAAAATACTCTCTGTTAAGATACCTGCATGTCAGAGGAAAATGTGAGAGCCAAGATACACTCTAGTGTGCTAAACATAGCAGTGAAGACAAAATGGCATGCTTCTGATTCTGTTTAGTATGAATCATACTACTTGTTTAATCCTTCAGAGTTGAAAAAAACTGAGAATTACCCATTACTGTTGTTTTTTTGCTTAAACAGCCAAGGCTCAAGCATTGTTCAAAACCATTAAGGTATCTTTTTAGCTTTCATTTTTTTGAATGCTAGTAGAGGTTATTTTGTGGTGGTTTAGTCTTATAAACATCTCTCAAATCTTCAGAATATCTACTTTTATATTCTTGTATTCATAATAGTTTATTATTGTGTAGAGAATTTCAGAAGCTTGACCCTTCACTGCAGAACTCAGTGCAGGCTCTAGCCATTGTCCATTGGCACTATTAAACACCTTCCATCAGGATTCAGTGCACCTAGAGGGACCATTAAGATATTGGGGAAGTTTCCTGGTAATGCTGCCTTATCTAGGAGGTGAATTGAGAAGTAGGTGCTTCAGGAGGCTCATACATAGCTTAGCCAGGGTGTCCTTCCTTAAGTAATCCTGTGGTGATTCAATGGCAGGAGTGGGGTAGTACCATGAAGTCAGTGATGACTTTGCTTTGTTCTGCCCCAGTTGGAACTGACTTAGAATAACTCTCACAGAAGGAGGGGCTGTTGATACATACTTTACTTTGCTTGTGCTGAGTGGGAAGGATTAAGGGAAGGGAAATTGCATAGCTACTGGTTTTTTAATGTATGGTAGCACAGTGTTCCACACTGGAGACACTTCGTTTTGGCTGCAGATCCTCCTAATACAGCCTTGGGAATGTCCTGAAGCCTATTGGAACACATAGCTTATTTCAGATCCTCTCTGTCCCTGCTCTTGTGTTCCCTCTGTTGGCAATACTTCCTCTGTTATTTCTTACCCGCCCCCCTGCCCTTTATATTCCAGTGTTATCCAGACTGTCACATCTTGCATGACTTTTATGCTGGCCTGTCAGTTCTGTCCTTGCTGCAGTGATTAGTGTCTGGCCTTGCCATTTATTTTATGGGAAATTAGCACTTGTCAGACTTGCTGCTAGCGATCTTCCTTTTCACTTGGATAAGGATAAGAGAAATCAGAAATGAGTGCGTAAAAGCATGAAAAATACAGACCAGTCAGTAGGGTAGAAAGATACCAAAATCTGTCTTCAGCAATTAAGCTATATCCATAGAGTGAATTAAGCCACTTGATGCTCCCTTTGTTTTAAGTCACAAGGTCCTCCGTGTAGCTGGAGTTTGTGTCAAGTATTCCTTTCTGGAGGGAGTTTAATGTCTGGATAATAGGAGAGTTACTATCTGGGAAAGGGTTATGCTACTGGTGAAGGTGTATCCAAAGCCCAAGATGCTAGTTTGAAAGCTGAGAAGGGGTTTTTAAGGGGCTGTATTAATAATGTAGTAAAGCAGAGGAAGGTTATCAGAGCTTCAAAGTTTGCTGTAATTTTTTTTTTTTTTGATGCTCTAATAGGTGACAGTTTAAGAAATAATGATGGAATTCAAGGAACATGTGTGGACTCTGTAATGCTTCTATGATACATTGCACAGAGCTGAGTTGTATGAACTCAGGCTATGTTATGGGGAGGAGCACTACCTTTGTTTCCTCTTTTCTAATTCAAATCTGGTTCTAGTAAAGATGTCTGCAAAGTACAGTTTCTCTCAGTAACCCATAGAATCACAGAATGGTTTGAGTTGGAAGGCGCCTTGAGGATCATCTAGTCCAACTCCCCTGCCATGGGTATGGACACCTTCCACTAGACCAGATGCTCAAAGACCCATCCAGCCTGGCCTTGAACGCTTCCAGGGATGGGGCATCGACAGCTTCTCTGGGTAACCTGTTCTGGTGTCTCACCAACCTCATAGTAAAGAATGTCTTTCTAATGTCTAATCTAAATCTACCCTTTTCTCAGTTTAAAAACATTCCCCCTTGTCCTATTGCTACTTGCTCTTATAAAAAGTCCCTCACCAGCTTTCTCATAGGTCTCCTGTAGGTACTAGAAGTCTGCTGTAAGGTCTTTTCTGAGCCTTCTCTTCTCCAGGCTGAACAAGCCCAACTCTCTTAGCCTGTCTTTATAGGAGAGGTGCTCCAGCCCTCTGATTGTATTTGCGGTCCTCCTCTGCACTCACTCCAGCAGGTCAATCCCCTTCTTATGTTGGGGGCCTCAGAGCTGAATGCAGTACTCCAAGTGAGCTCTCAGCAGAGTAGAGGGAGAGAATTTCCTCCCTTGTCACACTCTTTTTGGTGCAGTGCACCATATGGTTGGCTTTCTGGACCGTGAGCACACACTGCAGGCTTATGTTTACCTTATCAACCAACACCCCCAAGTGCTTCTCGGGTCTGCTCTCAATCCAGCCTGTGCCCAAGATGTAGTTGTACTTGAGATTGCCCTGACCCAGGTGCACAGGACCTTACACTTGGCCTTGTTGAACTTCATGAGGTTGGCATTGGCCCACCTCTCAAGCATGTCAGGGTCCCTCTGGATGGCATTCCTTCCCTCCAGCGTGTCAACATTCCATTCTTAATAAATAAAAAGCTTCTTTCGCATGTGACTGAGAGTGCTTGTTTCAAATTTTTGCCTTAAATTTTGAAAATAATGTAATACTTCCTGATAGTTTTGTTTCCTAATATGCCTCTTTGAATATTTGATTCACTGCAAATTATTCAATTTACTACTTTATTGACAGGTTGTACTTGTTACATACTGCGAATCTTTACATGGAGGCTAGGTAATTAATTAGTTAATGCAAGTATTGTCTCAGAGTTCATGTGCCTGTGTAATGTGTTCAAAGTATATAGTTAACCACCTACAACTCTTCCTTGCTTACTTGCAAGTTCTGTGCTTTTCTTTCCTCCTGCCTTCATGAAATGGTGACTTCAGAGCTTACTGAAGGGGGTTTATATCTAGAAGAAATCCATATCTTTATAGACTTAAGAATTCAGAATAGTGCTCTAGTCAAGTATTTCGACAAATGCTTCTTTCTTGCCCTTCCATAATTTCTCAAGAAGATAAATGTGAGGTTCAGCACCTGTGGAATTTTCTTTTAGAAATCCTGTTTTTGTTTTGATGTGTTCATAACTTTCCAAAGCATTGACCTTTCAAACTGAAATTCACTGTATGTTTTTTGTGCAAAGATATTTGCAAGTCCTTCTCTTTCTCTCTTTTTTTTTTTTTTTTTTTTTTTTAAGTTGTGGAGTTGGTGTTTTGTTTTCTGTTTTGTTTGGTGTTTTTTTAACCTATGGCAGTGTGGCAAAAATCAAATCCTTGGCAATAGTAATAAAAAAAATTCATCTTCCTTTTGAAAAAGGTTGAAAACAAAGGGCTAAAGCTTGAAAATACTTTTTCAACAAATGACAGTTTTGGAGGGGAGAAATACATTGATCATCCATAGTAGTTGGTTATCTCTGAGGTGAACTTAGCATAGCTGTGTGCCTTTCCATATGTGTGCACAGTTAATTGAATGCACATTCTCTATTTTCTTTGATCCAGTCTTTTCTGTTGAAATCAAGGATCCAAGGAGTCTGGAAGGTGAAGTTTTGTAATGAAATACTTGACTTTGGGTTTTTTGTTTGGTTTGGTTTTTTTGTTTGTTTCCCATTTTCTTAATAACGGAAGCCTGTGACTTTCTAAAATGCGCATTTTCATGCTAGAGTTTTAATGCTGTTAGCTGTGTTACATAAATACTTCTGCAAGTTTAACTTTGTTAACTTTTAAATGGTCACATGTTCTTTCATCTTGAACACTTTGTGAGAGAGCCAATAATACCAGTTAAATCAAAAAAATTCTCCTTAGTTTTATATTCATTGCTTTAAAAAGAGGCCTTACTAATTGTCTTATCAGGATTTGAATGTTAAGAAATGAAGTTAGACACCACCTTATCTATCATTTATAAAATTTATCCGAAAACATTGTTAGCTCAGCTACCTGATGAAGTGTTTGCTATTTTTGTGAAGTAGCACCACTGCTTACTGAAGGAGAATACTGAGCTTAGAATAGTATCACAAATGAAGTTCTACAACATAAAGATG